AAAAATAGAACTTTCACATAGGTTATTGTAAGCACATAGCCTGGCACAGAGTAAGTGCTCAATAAAGATTTGCTATTAATGGGGATCGGGACTGGTAAGTGGGCATCCCAGGGCCTGGTGTCCAAGACTGTGGACTGCTTAGTACTTATAAATGTCTCTCTGGTTCTTTGGAGTCCAGGCCAGTGTCAAGCAGCTGAGTTGCCCCAAGATATTTGGTCAGGGCTCCTGGGCAGTTGCCTCTTGGTAGGAATGGGAGAGTCCACGGCCTTTTCCTGCTGCCCTGCCCTGGGGTCCCTGGAGAGGAAGCCGCCCACCATGGCAGGCGGCTGTCTTGGCCACACGCACTCCCCATCTTGCAAAGCACTCATATTTTCCATGTGCGGCAGACCGTGAATTCACCTTCATACTAGTTACAGGGTTATTTAGCTTCTTCTGACACTGACAATCACCAAACTTTAATTCGTTGCTTGGCTTCTCCCTGCTGTGCCCTTTGCCCACCCCCCAAATCCCTGTAAGAGGATGGGAAGGGCCGAGGTCTAGCCCCCTCTTGGCCAAGCTTGCCCTGAAGAATGATGGAGTGATGGGAGGTATGGGGCGGGTGGTCAGAAGGAGAATTTGATGGACAGAGGGCAGGGGAGGGACCAGAAGGGAGGAAGGATGTAGTATCAGGGTGAATGGGAGCTCTATCCTGCTCTGTCCTGACACTAATACATTCAACCTGACACTCTTCCTGTCTTGAATGAAGACCCACTGACTGGCTGTGGGTCTGAGGCCTGGCAGCCCTGGCCAGGACAGATGGGGGCCAGGTCTTTCTGAGCTCCATGACCAGGCTGGCATGGAGCTGGCACCTCTGCCCTACTCCTGGATAAGCAGATGCCCAGCTGGCAACCGGCCAAGGGAGACCATTCCCCTCAGCCTGAGGAGCTGGTTTCCCTTCTCTCCAGCCTGCCCCTGAAGCCAGCCCACCCCACCACACAGAGGCCTCTCTCCCTGTGGTTTACTGCTCTGTGGGTATTGGATCCCTGCTGAAAACTGCTGCCCATATAATAACTCTTTTCCCTTCATGAAGGTGGGTGGGTCTGTTCACCCAAATGTCTGATGGGAAATAGAGACTCTGTGACATCTCCTCCAAGGCACCCAAGTCACATGACCCCAGGGTTGGCGTGGGTCACAGGGCTGAATTAGGCATCCCAGGGCCTGCTTTCTGGTCCACCTGGAGAAGCTGCTGCTGCTGCCTTCCCCTACAGCCAGTCCCACATGTCCTCCTCCTTCTCTTCCCTTGGCTCTGGCAGACCCCTTCTTTCTATGTACCCTGTGCTCTTATACCCTTGGCAGGAGTGGACTCAGCTTCTAGAAGGTCCAGAGGGGCCTCCTGCTGGCTCAGGGGCTGGTCAAGGCTAGAGATCTCTGACTCCTCCTCAGAGCCACCCTCCACCTCCTGGTCACCATCATCTTTCCCCAAAGCCTCCTGGGCAAGCAAGGGAGGGTCAGTGTACTCTGGGAACAGTCTAAGTGGGATCAAGGGAGCCTTATTAACAAAATCCAAGGTGGCCCTGTCAGCTACTCACTAGACAGAGAGGGTGCCAGGAGCAGACAGCAAAGCAGAGAGGAGGCACAGAGACAGAAGGCCTGGTGAGGCTTCCGCAGGGCCAGGGGCAGAGCCAGGGCAAGGAGAGGCAGGGAATCCATGGGAGGGTTCCAAGGGTGTGTCCACTTCCTCCTGGCCCCATTCTATTGCCCACCCCTGCCAGAGGGGGAAGGGGCCCTGGTGGCCTGAGGCAAGAGAGATGTCAACGGGACCGATGGGAGAAGGGGCTTGTTGACTGCAAACTGTCCATTATGGCTCAGATTATAAGCATATTGCGCAGGGCTCTCTGCACGATGCCGGGGAAATCCAATACGCTGAAAGGTTAATGCAATCAATTAGGGTGACAAGGAAGTAAAGTAAAGCCTTCCGAGTAGATGAAAAGGAGAGAGAGAGAGAGAGAGAGAGAGAGACAGAAAGAGAGAGCGCCATGGAGTTGAAGGGGGTGCTTTGGGTAGTGGGAAGGCGACGGGGGGAAAGAAGCTGGTGGGATTCGGCAAGCAGGCTTGGAGGAGAAAAGGTGAGGAGGCCACAGAAAGAGGAGAGGAAGAGAGAGGCCCAGTGGGAGCGGGCGGTCAGGGCACCCGCCAGCCACTGGGCTGGCTCCCATCTCAGACCTCTGACAGCTTCCCTCTCCTCCTCTGCCCTCCCACCCACCCAGCCTTTCCTCCAGGGCTTGGAGCCTGGCCTCCCAATGAGCTCATAGCAGTAGTAAAGTGGCAGGGCGGCCTTGGTCCCTGACTCGATGCAGGGCCAGCACCCAGAGTGACCCCCAGAGCCTGCTTAGCAGAACTGCAGGCTGCTTCCACCTCTCACAGAACAGGACTAACTCGGACCCGCGCTCATGCCTCAGCCTGCTTCACTCTCAGCAGCCCCACAAACACCACTGTCACCACCTTTGCCAAAGCATCTCTGCTCTTCTCTGCAACCAGCCTGTGGAGCAGAGAGCATGGTAGTCAGCGCCACCCCTCCCCCCCCTTTACAGACAGAGAAAGTGGCACTCAGAGAGGCTATGCAACTGCCAGGGCCCTGTGGCATAAATGGCCAGCCTGGGACTGAACAGAGGACGTTGACAGCTCCCAGTCCACCACCCATGGTGAGCACACTCCTCCCACAGCACTCCTTGGAATTAGGAGCTTCATTTCCGCAAAGGAGTCAGACTCAGAGCTCCTGGGGCAGAGGGTGGGGAACTTCATGCAACTTGCAGCCTCCTATACCTTGGGGACCTAGGCTCTGGGTGGTAGCAGAGGAAGGAGAGAAGGAGGGAACACAAACACTCACTGTCTCTTGGCTCCTGGGCTAGTCATTCTCAGTCACAGTAACTCAATTTCTTGTCCCAACAACCCTGCAAAGTTGATATTCTGCTTCTCACGTTATAGAAAAGGAAACTGGATCTGAGGGTAAAGGATTCCCTAAAAGCTGCAGGATAGAGACGTGGGGCTCTTGGGACAATAGGAGCAAGAGTTCTGAAGCCCAGGGTGGCTGTTGAGCAGAGAAACAGCAGGGACTTCTAGGCAGGTGGAACTGAGCAGAGGATGAGACCCTTGGAGAGCAGGGAGAAAGCAGGCCCCAAACCAGGCCAGGACTACAGCAAGAGGCCTGCAGTCTCCAAAGGCCTGATCCTCTCAGCAGTCTCACAGAAGACCAGAACACAGTACAAGAGCCTGAACCTCCAGACCACAGGCTGGCAAGAGTTTTCTGTAAAGGGCCAGAGAGTAAATATTTTAGGCTTTGTAGATCAAACAGTTCCTTCCTGTAGCCCCTCAACTGTTACTGTAGAGCAAAAGCAGCTGTAGACAATACATAACCCAATGAGTGTGACTGCGTTCCAATAAAACTTTATTTACAAAAACAAGCAGTGGGCCAAATTTGGTTTGGCCAGATTTGGCCAAGTTTGCTACCTCTTGCTCCAGAGAAGGACTTATCTTTGAGGCCCTGGGATGCCTGGCTCCATCCCACTGCCCAAGGATGCCATCCAAGCTGGAGCCCACCAGAGTTGCTATGGGGTGGGGGCAGGGCTGGGCAGAATTCAGCCCAGAGGCCTCAGGGTAGAATAAGGTCTCATGACTAACAGAGGGTAAAGAAGAAAGAAAGAGAACAAATGTTGGCAAGGAAAACAGATGTCCAGGTCCCAGCTCTAGCATCCCAGAAACCCTCCACTGCACTTCAGTTTCTCATGGAGGATAGGAAAGGGTGGAGTCGTCCAGCACAGGCATCTTTGATTCCCTGAGAGAGGAGCCAGGCTGTGGCTAGGAGAGAAGGACAGGGTGGGGGGCCCGGGGCCAGACTGGCCAGAAGGAGCGAGAGGCATGGGGAGAGACCGGGATCAGCGCTGTAACCAGGGTGGTGCTGGCGGCAAAGGGAGGAATCCACTGGCCCCAGCGAGAGCGCAGGGCGCGGGCCGGGCCTGCCCTACACCGGGCCGCCTCTGATCACGTTTTCAGGGCCACTGCCCGCCAGGCTCAGACAATACTGGGGGGAGCCTTTGAAGTCCCAAAGAGATGCCGCGGTGGGAGCCGGGCGAACCGCCTCCCTTCCCCCGTCCTCCTGTGGGGCGGGGGCCTCCAGGACAAAACCCCAGAGCCGGTCGCAGCCGGGCCCCCGAAATGCGGGAGACAAAGGGAAAACAAACAGGTTTGGAGCCAGGCGCACGGTGCCGCGTCTGTCCCCTGCCCCGCCGCGCTGGATGATGGATGGCTGCAGCCAGCCAGCTCGCCCGCCGGGCAGGCCCCGCTATTTACATAACACTGGCGTTCCACCGGTCACCTCTGACACGGCCCTGCCTGGGGCCAGAGGCCCGGTGGCCCCTCAGCTCCTGCACCACCCAGGGGACCCAGGCCGCCTATGCAGGCCCAGCCAGGCCAGAGCAGCCCTGTGTGCCCAGCTGGGGGGAGCTCTGGGTCTAGGCACAGGCCGGACCCAGCTGCCTGCTCTGTCTCAGGTCTACAGAACCCTCCCTTGTCATCTTCTTAAAGAGGAAGGAGGAGGCCATTGGGGCCAGTGAGAGAGGCTGGGCTAGAGTCTAAGGTTTTCATGTCCATGTGGTTCTCTAAGTATAAACTACAAGCTGAGCTTTAAGAAGAGCAGATAGCTGCTGCTGGGAGCCAAGCATGGTGCCTGCTGGTCTACCCAAGCCCTGGTACAACAGATGCCCCATTCAATCCATGTTTCCTTAACACATTCCCTGCCCAAAGGCCCGCCATCCGCACATCCCCAGCCCACTCCCAGCCTTGCATCCAAACTGAGAAGCTGCTGATGTGGCCCATCTTCTCAGCCAGACTCAGACAGGCAGTGTGGCTCTGTCCCCATCATTCTTTCCCTCCCTGAGTACCAGGCCAGCCTGGACCCAGCCCAGGTGACACCGGTCTCCAGTGATGGTCATCAGTGGGGCAGGACACAAGGATCAGGGCCTTACCTTATACCGGGTCCTAGAGGCTCCTCGTGTGCAGCTCGGGGTGTCACTTCATCCTGGGGAGGCAGAGAGGAGCACTATTAGCGTGCAGGTCTTCAAGGAAGGAATCCCCTGGCCCCACTGTACACCCTCCTTGCTTACTGTGTGGTCCTGCCACCCTGCAGGCCTAGAGGCTGATGCCCTAGGAGGGCCAAAAAGGTCCAAGAATCCAGATGTGCTGAGTCAGCACTGATTTGGGTCCATTTAAATAGACACCAAATTTTGAAAAGACTTCAAAAATGGTAGGGGCTGATCACAGTGGAAATGGGGTCTTCAGGATGCCCCCAACTGACTAGAGAGGTGGGCCATGCTGAGCACATTCCACTTTGGAGGCAGAGGTTGGCGTTCTGGGAGTGGGGGTGCTGGTTACAGGGCCCACATGCTCCCACAGGAGACTTTGGGCAGCTGCTGTAGCTAAGCAGGGGTCCCTGTGGACAATGGCAGAATACAGCAGCCCCCCAATCCTTTATTCTCCTCTCCTGGCCCCTGCAGGTAAAAATGTCAGACCTAAAGCTATTAGCTATTGTAAGTGGCAGAGGGAAAAGGTTGGCCAGTGACCAAGGCACCCAGAAGCCCCAACCCCATGGGGGTAGGTGGCCCAACAACACTGTCCATCCACCCTGGGGTGCTACTGATGGGCTACACCAACCCAAGCTGGGGGTCCAGGTAGGGAGAGGGAAAACAGTACCACATTATGGAGGGTCTTTAGCCAACACTACTCAACCTGCCAGCTCTAGGCCCTCCAGTCCAAAGAGGGAGTATGGGGAGTCAGGCTCAAAGGGGACAGACTCCTTATGTGGACAGGAAGTCCTCAGCCTGCTGACCTGGCCCACCTGCCCAGGCCTGAGTGGTGCCCTGCCCCTGTACCTCAGAATTCACCCCTTGCTCAGGGAGGGTTTTCTGGTTATTGTGGTTTTTTTCCCTACCCTCTCCCTCATTTGTGGCTTATCAATGATGCAAGAGGAACAGCACCAATTTCCTTAGGCTGTATAATCCCCAAATCAGATTGGGGGGATTGCAGGAGGTGAGGTGACCTTGGACTGGGCTTCCGGAATGCCACCCAGTCCCGCCGCCTGCTCTTTCGGTTCCCAGGACATATTTAGACAGATAACACTAATTATTCTTGACACATCCTCCTGAGGAGGGGCTCAGCCCTCTGCTAGCTCTTCTTGTCTTTGCTGGGCTGCTGGGCGAAGGATGCCCACCCAGGGTGGAATCCACCCTGCCAGGCACAGGGCTGTGGGTGGCTTACGGGCCCTTGGGATTGGGAGATTGGAAGGGTTGCCCCTTGGGTCGCAGACTTCCACAGCTGACAGATGCTGTCTTGCCCAGCTGATTCAGTTAGTAAGAATGGGGGCTGCTGGGAGCTAGGAGGACAGCTGAGACAGGGGGCAGCAGAGAGGAAGTTGGGAGGAGAGGCAGACAAAGTGCAAAAGGGAAGAAGTTGGAGAGGAAGAGTTGGATGAAGTGGAGGGGTAAGCATGGCAGGGGCACAGGAACAAGGGCCTCCACTGGGAGGTGGTAGGCAGACAGGCGGGCATGGTGTCAGAGCTCATGTCCCGCCAGCCTAGGGCCACCACTAGGCCATCTTCACCACCCTGGCCATACCACTCTCACTGGCCTGAGATCTCTCCAGGCACCCTAGCCAGCCTCCCTTGAACCCCCCAAAGCCCCCCAACTCCACAACTCCAGTATCTCCCTTCCACCACCTTTTTCTCCCCTCCCATCCTCCCCGGCAACTGTGCATTTATTAATTCATGAGGCACTAATTAGTTCTTTGTTTAATTTTGTGTTAAACAGACTGACCGGAATGATAACGACTTGCAGCGCAGTGTTGCCGTCCCCAACCACCCCTGTTTTCTGACAACAAGGGAGCGCGGGAGACCGGAGCGCTGAACCCAAATCCCTCAGCAGTTGCACTTCATTAAGTCAAAATGTGACAAGAAGCTTAGAGAGCAACTTGCAGATCTGATCACACAGAACAATCGGGAAGCAAACTTTCCAGGAGTTGGTGGGGGGTGGAGGCGGGGTGGGAGGGGCAGAGATGCTCTGTACACAGGGAGCAGGACGTGTACTGGGGTCCTGCCCTGAGTGCCCAGCGACAGGTGGCCTGGCTGACGAGAGCAGGAGGCCAGTTTCTGGGCGGGACCTGGGATACTGATGGATTCAGAACCCCAGTGGGGCCTGGGAAGTACTCGCGAGTTCAACTTTGTGTCTGTCCTCTTGTCCAGGCATCTGCTCCTGTCCCTCACTATCCCTTCTGTCTGTTTCCAGCCCATGAGAGTGAGTGATAGGGTGGACCTAGGCCTGCCAGAGAACCAGAATGCTGATGCAGTTTTGGGAGGACTCTAAGGCCAGGGTACAACAGCTGGGAAGACCAGAGGGGAGCAGGGCCCTACATGCAGGGAGGCTGAAGTGAAACTTCTTCTAGTTGAGAAAGAAGAGTTATATCCTTTCTTCCCTTTTCTAGTGGCTCTGGGATGACCATGGCGAGAGAGTGAACAAGAAATGCCTACATGCCCACTCTTTGCCTGCCATCTATCTATCCATCCATCCACCTGTCTACCTATCCAACGTTCTTAATCCTACATACGCTGATCAGAATACTGAGGACCCAAAGGTTCAGGCTTCTGTGCAGCAGTATTGGTCTTGGAACTTCTGGGCCATGGAGGCTAACTGTAGTCAGGCAGCCAAGGTAACCAAGAAAACAGCCTGTGACCTCCTCCCTCCTGTCCACGTGAAAAAGCAGGACCATGTGCCACAGGCATTGAGCTATGAGCCCCATCAACCTGTAGCACAAATGAAAATGCTATCAAATTCAAACCCTGCCCCTTCTATAGGCAGGGAACCTGCCCACCTCTACTAACCCTCATCTCCTGGGCAATGTCTTTGCATGAAGGAAAGCATGGAAGGGGATGCAAGAACAAAAACCAAGTACCAAGTTGACATGTGTGAGCCTGGTGCTGTGGCTGTATGTGCGCACATGGGGATCCTGTTGCCTTCTCCCCATTGGCCACTGTTTCGCCCAGGTGTGGCCTGGCCCTCTCTCTGAAAGCCTACCTACTGCAGGGACAACTTTGCCTGTCTTTTGCCCTGGCCAGTGCTGAAGTACAGCGGTCCCCACTTGAGCCTGGCAGCCTTGGGCTGGCTTCTGTTAATTTGCTGTCAGGCTGCCTAAGCAAACCAATTAAAACTAATCATTAATTATAAAAGAGAGGGAGAAGAGAAGAGAGAAGAGAGGAGAGGGTGAAAGGCAGAGATGGGAAGGGGGATGAGTGTCGGCTGGACAGGGAGGGAAGACTCAGAGGCCTGTGGGGACTCTAGGTGTGTGTGTGGGGGGGGTGGGGAGGCTGTGGGCTGAGAGCAGGAGGCACCAGAGGCTCCTCCAGGATAGAGAGAGGACAGGAAGGAGGACTAGGAGGTGGAGAGAAGGCCCTCATGGGCAGGGAATAGAAGATAAGGTCAGAAGAGGGAGTTTAGGGGACAGGGAGGGTTAAAAGCCAGGACCAGCACCGTACCAGGACAAGGGCCGCATCCATCCACAGTCCCTCTCGTTGGAGCCACCAACTATCCAGTACAGGACCTCGGAGCATCTCACCCACAGAACCCCAGCTTCATATTTATGAGGCTTGGCTGATGATGCAGCCCAGGCTAGGCTCCCAGTCCCACTGCTCCTACCTGCTCCCTAGCCCTCCCAGGCCATGGAGGAGGCTCGGGGCAGCTGTTGGCCACCCCTACCCCCAAATGCTGTGTCTGTCCCCTCCCCCAGCCCACCATCCCACATCCTCTAGCACACCCTCTCCTGGGCTCAGGCTTGGGCTTTTTCACAGGGTTGGGGCCATGTCAGCAGGCAGCTCCAGGAGGGGGCAGGGCAGACAAAAAGAGGCAGCGTCATGGAAACGGGCACTTTCCTGGAGAAATATTCTGTTTGGCCTCCTTCCTGCATTCAGGAGCTGTCAGGAGCCTGAGTGAGAGTCACACTACCCCGGGACCAGGCGTGACAAAACCTATTTTCTGCCTCAAATTTGATTGATTAAAAAACTTTTTAGGAAAACCATGTTAAAAGAGTGAAGAAGAAAAAAAAAAGAACCCAGTGAGAGAGGGAGAGAGAGGGAGGGAGAAATAGACGGGAAAAGAAAGAAGGAGCATATAGAACGTACAGCAGGGAGGAGGGCTGGGGGGAGAAAGGCCATGGGCAGGGCCACACAGTTACCCCGGCAATAACGCCCAGGGACAGCCATGTGGAGCATCCGCAGCATAACCAGGCCAAACAGAAAGGTCAAAGGAAGCCGGGAACTTTTACACAGTGGTTAGCAGGAGAATGAGGGAGGCGGGGGCTGCCCCACCCAGCAGGTGCCTGAGGGGCAGCCAGAGTGCTGGCCCATCCCCCAGGAACCAGCTCAACACCTTGAGGCAGACAGGGCACAGGGGGTCGGCCCCGTGCCAGGATTTGGGATCTGGAGGGGCCTCTGGATTGGCTCTCGGGTTTCTCCGAGCACAGTCTCGGTTGGAATTTGGCCAAAAAATCATGAAAAATCTGAATGGGGTCAAGAAGGAAGGCCTAAGAGCTAGGGGTTGCTGTTATTATGTGCCCTCAAGAGGATTTCAACTCACAGTTGACCCCATGTGACAGAGTGGAACTGCCCCATAGGGTTTTCTTGGCTGTAATCTTTATGGAAACATCGTAAGGTCTTTCTCCCTTGGGATCACTAGTGGGTTTGAACCCCCAACCTTTCAGTTAGCAGTTGAGCAATTAACTGTTGCATGACCAGGACACCTTAAGAGTTGGGGGAGTTGGTAAAACCTGTTGCCACCGTGTTGATTCTGACTCATAGCAACCCTGTAGGATAGAGTGGATCTGCCCCACAGGGCTTCCAAGGTTGTCAATTTTTATGGAAGCAGACTGATCCTTCTTTCTCCTGTGGAGAGGCTGGTGGGCTTGAACTACCGACCTTGTGGATAGCAGCGGAACACTTAACCAATGTGCCACTGGGGCTCCTCAGAGTTGGAGGTAGGA